GTCCATATCGCCTGCCACCGCCTGCCGTCACTACACCACCTGCGCCTGAACGTCACTGTCACACCGCCTGCGCCTCACCTGCTGAAACGTCCACTATGCACCTGCCACCCCTGCGCCACCGACGTCCACTATGCACCCTGCACGCACCTGCGCCTGAGCATCACTGTGCACCTGCACCTGCGCCTGCGCCTGAGCATCCGCAATGCGCCTGCTGGCACGCACCGCCGCCTGAGCGTCACTGTGCGCCTGCGCACGCCTGCTGCGCATCACAGCCGCCGCCGCGCCGCACGCCTGCGCACGCCTGCACCCTGGGCGTCGCTGTGCGCCTGCGCCGCACGCCTTAACGCCTGGGCGTGCGCTGCGCCTGCGCCGCAGACGTCACTGTGCGCCTCCGTCACCGCACGCCACCAGACGTCACTGTCACGCCTGCCACGCACCTGCGCCGCAGGCGTCCGCCTGTGCACCTGCACCACGCACCTGCACCACAAACGTCCACTATGCACCTGCAACGCACGCTCGCCGCAAACGTCCTGTACACCTGCCACCGCACCTGCGCCTGAGCATCGTATTACCCTGCGCCACACACACCCCTGCACCCACACACCTGCACCACACAAACGTCACCTGGCACACCTGCACCACACCTGCGCCGCAAACATCCACTGCGCCTGCGCCTGAGCACTCCTGTACCGCCTGCCACCGCCTGCGCCGCAGGCAGTCACGCCTATGCACCTGCACCGCACCTGCGCCTGAGCGTCACGCCCTGTCCGCCTGCGCACCACGCCTGCGCCTGAACGTCACTGTGCACGCCGCCACGCCGCCGCAGGCATCCGCTGTGCGCCCGCCGCGCGCAGATGTCGCTATGCGCACGCGCCGCACGCCTGCGCACGCACCTGCGCCACGCACTGCGCCACTGGGCGTCACGCTGTGCACCCATCGCCGCACCTGCGCCTGAGCGTCCGCTGCCTGCCGTCACTGTCTTTCCTGCACCACACCTGCGCCTGAGCATCCACTATGCCTGCACGCACCTGCACCACCGCACCTGCGCCTGAGCATCCGCTACCTTCACCACGCACCTGCCTGGCATCACTGTGCACCTGCGCCACACACGTGCTGCACGAACGTACTCTGCGCACCGCCGCACTCGCCATGCGCCTGCACCCGCACCGCGAACCAGGCGTCACGCTGTGCGCCTGCGCCACCCGCACCTGCACCGCACGCCTGCGCCTGAGCGTCCGCTGTGCACCTGCACGGCGCACCTCGCAGGCGTCACGCTGTGCGCCTGCGCCTCAGGCGTCACTGTGCGCCTGCCGCACGCCTGCGACCTGGGCGTCCGCCTGCGCCTTGCGCCGCACGCCGCACGCCGCACCTCACCGCCACTGGAGCCGTCACGCTGTGCGCCTGCCCTACGCGCCATCCGCGCCAGCCGCCTGCACCGCACGCGCCGACCACCTGACGTCCACTGTCACCCCTGCGCCACCCCTGCACCACCCCGCACCCACGCGCCTGAACGTCCTATGCGCCTGCACCACGCACCTGCGCCTGAGCATCCGCTGTCACCTGCAGCAGGCATCCGCTTTCAATGCGCCCCTGCACCACCCGCCGCCTGCGCGACCGCAGCATCGCCTGCACGCCTGCGCCACCGCACCGCCACCGCACACCCCTGCCTGATCACGCCATGCACCTGCGCCTGCACCTGCGCCTGGGCACACTGTGCACGCCTGAGCATCCGCTGTGCACCCTGCGCCGCACCTGCGCCGCAGGCGTCACGCCTGTGCACCGTCGCGCGCCTGCTGCGACCGCAACGTCGGCTGCAGACGCCGCCATGCGCGTCGCCACACCTGCGCCTGACGTCCATCGCACCAGCACCTGAGCATCCGCCTGCACTGCCACACCTGCGCCTGACGTCACGCTGTCCGCCTGCACCGCACACCTGCACCGCAAACGTCACTGTGCACCTGCTGCACGCCCCGCACCTGAGCATCCACTGTACCACACGCCCTGCGCCTGAGCGTCCGCTGCTGCCTGCACCTGAGCGTCACTATCTGCACCGCACTGCGCCTGATCCGCCTGTGCGCCTGCGCCGCCTGAGCATCCACTGCGCACCCTACCACCACGCACCTGCCCGCACGCCTGCACCGCACGCCTGCGCCTGAGCGTCGCTATGCGCCTGCACCGCACGCCTGCCGCAACATCCACTGTGCGCCTGCCACTGCACGTCGCACCTGAATCACGCTGTGCCTGCGCCGCGCGCTCGAGCCCGCGGGCTCGCCTGAATCACGCCTGCGCCACGCCTGCGCCGCAGGCGTCATACGCAGCGCCTGAGCGTCACTGTCTGCGCCTGCACCTGCCTGAGCATCCACTGCACCAGCTGCGACATCCACTGCACCACCACCTGCCGCACCTGCACCACGCACCTGCGCCGCACACCTGCGCTGCACGCCTGCTGCACCTGCACCTACCGCACTTCCGCCTGAGCGTCGCTGCGCCGCCACCGCACCTGCGCCACAATGCGCCTATGCGCCTGCGCCTGAGCATCCGCCTGTGCACCTGCGCCACGCACGCCTGCGCCGCACGCCTGCGCTGCGCACCTGCGCCGCGCCCCCTGCGCCACGCACCTGCGCACGCACCTGCGCCGCGGGCGTCCGCTGTGCGCCATAACGCCACTGGGCGTCTGCACCACCTCACCACGCCTGCTTCCTGGGCGATCCACGCTCATGCGCCTGCACCGCCTCACCCTGCACTCCGCCTGAGCGTCACTGTGCACCTCCGCACCTGCAAACGTCCTGCGCCTGCGCCGCGGCATCACTGTCACCTGCACCCACGCACCTGCACCTGAGCATCCGCCTTGCGCCTGCACCACGCACCTGCACCACCGCACCTGCCCACGCACCTGCGCCACGCACCTGCTGCAAACGTCACGTGCACCTGCCGCACACACCTGCACCCTGAGCATCCGCTGTGCGCCTGCAGGCATCACCTGTCGCCTGCACCCACGCACCTGCGCCTGCAGGCGTCGCATGCACCTGCCGCACCTCACCTGCACGCACTGCCGCCACCAGGCGTCGCTGTGCGCGCCGCCGCAACGTCTGCGCTGTGCGCGCCGCGCCGCCAGATGTCCGCCTGTGCGCCGGCCTGGGCGATCCGCTATGCGCCTCACCTGCGCCTGGCATCCGCACCTGCGCCTGCGCCGCACTGCGCCTGCAGCAGGCATCCACTATGCTCCACGCCTGCTGAGCGTCACTATGCACCCTGCCACCAGGCGTCCGCTGTCACCTGCACGCCTGCCTGAGCATCCGCTGACCTGCCTGAGCATCCGCTGTGCCCGCCACCGCACACCTGCGCACCAGGCGTCACGCTCTGCGCCTGCGCCGCACCTGCGCCTGAGCGTCCACGCTGTACGCCTGCCTGAGCACGTCCGCCTGGCCGCACCTGCCTAACGCCACCGACGCCGCTGCGCGCCAGCGCCTGGGGCACTTCTGCGCCTGCGCACCACGCACCCGCTGCGCCACCAGACGTCACGCTGTCGCTTGCGCCGCGCGCCTGCGCCACGCACCTGCGCCTGAGCGTCCATGCACCTGCACCGCCTGCGCCTGAGCATCCACGCCTGCACCGCCGCCTGAGCATCCGCCTTGCGCCTGCACCGCACGCCTGCACTGAGCGTCCACTGTCACGCCTGCACCGCACACCTGCACCTGCGCAAACGTCACTGTGCACCTGCCGCACGCACCTGCGCTGAGCATCACTGTCACACCTGCGCCACAAACGTACTGTGCTGCACCTGCACGCACTGCCCACGCACCGCCACACGCCACGCACCGCCACCACGCGCCTGCACCGCAGGCGTCCGCCTGTCACGCCTGCACCACGCACCTGCACCAGGCATCCGCTGTCTGCCTGCGCCTGACGTCCGCTGTGCGCACTGCGCCTGTTTGCATCGCCTCACGCCTGCGCCACCAGGCGATCCACTGTCTGCTGCGCCACTGCACCTGAGCGTCACTTGCGCCTGCACCACGCACCTTCGCCTGAGCATCCACTTTCATCACGCCTGCACCCACGCAACCCACCAGAGCATCCACGCTGTGCGCCTGCACCACCGCCTGCCACCACAGCCTGAGCGTCCACTATGCATGCACCACACCTGCACCTGAGCATCCGCTATGCACCTGCTGCACGCCTGCTGCTGAGCATCACTATGCGCCTGCCACGCACCCTGCTGAGCGTCCGCTATGCCGCCGCCACGCACCTGCTGCACGCCTGCGCCGAGCATCCGCCATGCACCTGCGCACACCGTCTTGCGCCACGCCGCCTGCGCATCCGCTGTGCGCCTGGCCACCCGCCTGCGCCTGCGCGTCCACTGTGCGCCTCTTCACTGCACCTCGCCTGGACGTCCGCCGTGCGCCTCGTCACGCCGCCGACGTCCACTGTCTGCGCCTGGGCATCCTGTGCGCCTGCACCACGCCTGCTGAACGTCACTTGCACCTGCGCCACAGGCGTCACCATGCACCTACACCACGCACCTGCGCACCGCAGGCATCCTGTGCGCCTGCGCACGCACCTGCCTGAGCATCACTGTGCACCTGCTGCACAGCGCCTGACATCACGCTATGCACCTGCACGCACACCTGCCTGCCTGAGCGTCCGCCATGCGCCTGCCGCCTGGCATCGCACTGCACCTGCACCCGCACCTGCTGCCTGAGCGTCACGCGCTGGCGCCTGCGCATTACTGCACCCTGCACGCACGCCTGCGCCGCACGCCTGCACCCGCACCGCACCTGCGCCTGAGCGTCACGCTGTCTGCCCGCGCCGCGCACCCGCGCCACCGAGTCCGTCACGCCGCTTTCACGTGCTGCAGACGTCACTGCGCCGCGTCGCACCGCATGGCCTGAGCGTCACTGTGCACCTGCCAGCGTCCACATCACCTGCACCACACCTGCCTGGCATCACGCCTCGCGCCTGAGCATCTGCACCTGCACCACCACCTGCCCTGAGCATCCACTATGCACCTGCGCCTGAGCATCACTGCACCTGCACCGCACGCCTGCTGCCCGCACCTGCCCCACGCACCTGCACGCACGCCTGCGCCTGCGCCCGCACCTGCGCGCGCCTGCGCATCACCGCCTGAGCGTCCGCTTGCACCGCACCACGCACCGCGCCTGAGGTCACTTGCGCGGCGCCTGGGCGATCCGCTGTGCGCCTGCGCCACGCACCTCCGCGCCGCACGCTCACGCTGCCGCCTGCGCGCACGTCCTGCGCCTGCGCCACGCGCCTGTGCGTCACCCGCGCCTGCATCCGCCGCACCTGCACCCGCACGCTGCCGCCTGAGCATCACGCTGTGCACCTGCGCCACCACGCCTGCGCCTCAGGCATCCACTTGCACCTGCAACCTGCCTGCGCCTGAACGTCCGCCCTGTGCACCTGCACCACACACCTGCGCACCACCATACGTCGTTATGCCTGCGCCACGCACCCGCGCACCAGCCTACGTCACGCCTGCGCACCCACCTGCGCCCAGCCGCACCTGCGCCTGAGCATCACTGTGCGCCTCTGCGCCGCACGCCTGCGCCACGGGCGTCACTGTGCGCCTGCACCGCACGCCTGCCTGGGCGTCACGCTGCGCCTGCGCCGCCGCGCCGCGCCTGGGCGTCACGCTGTGCGCCTGCACCTGCGCCTGACTGACGGTCCACTGTCACGCCTGCACCACGCGCCTGCCTGAGCATCCGTGTGCCTGCTGCCTGCGCCACACGCCTGCAAACATCCACTATGCACCCTGCACCCACGCGCCTGCCACAAACATCACTATGCACTGCGCCTGCTGACCTGCTGAGCGTCCACCTGTGCGCCTGCCACACGCCACCACAAACGTCCTGTGCACCTGCACCACGCACCGCGCCTGAGCATCCGCTGTCACGCCTGCACCACGCACCTGCGCCGCAGACGTCACTGTGCACCTGCGCCACGCACCTGCGCCTGGACGATCCGCTGTCACCTGCTGTGCACGCAGACGCACTGCTCCACCTGCCTGGAATCAGTATGCACCTGCGCCGCGCACCTGCACCACACACCTGCGCCGCAAACGTCACTGTCACCTGCGCTCCGCCACTGAGCGCACGCTGTCACCTGCCTGGCGTCCACTGTGCGCACTGCCGCACGCCGCCTGATCCACTGTCACCCACCACCGCCACCGATCCCTATGCGTCTGCCCACCTGCTGCAAACGTCCACTGTCGCCTGCAATGGCTTTGCCTGCCGGAAGCATCCGCCTGTGCGCCTGCGCCACACGCCTGCACCTGAACGTCCAGTATGTACCGCCCACCACACGCCTGCACCTGAGCGTCCGCTGTGCCCTACACCGCACACCTGCGCCTGGTATGCACTCCTTCGCCTTCGCCTGAGCATCCACGCCTATGCGCCTGCCGCACGCACCTGCGCCTGAGCGTCCGCTGCACCTGCACCGCACTGCCCTGAGCGTCCTCTTCAATGCACCTGCGCCGCGCGCCCCTGAACCATCACCTGGACCCGCACGCCTGCACCGCAGGCGATCACTGTGCCGCCCACGCACCTGCCACCACCTGCCACTGGCGTCCACTGTGCACCTGCCACACACCTGCGCCATTGCGCCACCTGCCGGCGTCCACCACACCTGCCTGAACGTCACTGTGCACCTGCACCACACACCTGCACCACAAACATCCTGTGCACCTGCATCACACGCAAACAGACATCACTATGCACCTGCGCGACAAACGTCACTATGCGCACCTGCACCACCACACCTGCGCAAAACGTCCGCATGCCGATGCACCAGCGCCACAAGCGTCCTGTCTCACCCGCACGCCGCCTGAGCGTCCGCCTGTCACCTGCACCACACCTGCTGCGCATCGCTATGCACCTGCCACGCATGCTGCGGGCAATCACGCTTTTGCGTCCGCATCGCACACCTGCGGCTGAAACGTCACTGTGCGCATCGCCGCAGGCGTCCGCTGTGCGCACATAACGCCGCGCACACCCTTCCTGGGCGGTAATCACTTGTCCGCCAGCGCCCATCCACCTGCCACGCCTGACACCACACACCTGCGCCACACCTGCACCGCACGCCTGCGCCACAAATCCACTATGCACCTGCCATGCGCCTGCACCTGATAATGTCTGTGCGCCTGCGCCACACACTTGCCTGGGCATCCGCTGTGCACCTCCGCCGCACGCCTGCAACCCTCAAACATCCATGTCCTGCGCCTGAGCGTCCACGCCACACACCTGCTGCCACACACCTGCACCACAAACATCACTATCCACCAGCACCGCAGGCATCCACTGCACCTACACCACACCTGCAAGCATCCACTGTGCACCAGCACCTGAGCATCCACTGCACACACCACCCACACCTGCCCACACACCCACGCACCTGCCACGCACCTGCACTACACACACCGCTGCCTTTCTACACCCACGCACCTCACCACACACCCCTTCACCTGAGCATCCACGCTGTGCACCTGCACCGCACCTGCGCCTGCACTGCGCATCGCCTGCGCGTCCAATCACGCCTGCGCCACGCTTTTCTCTTACCGCCTGCGCTGCACTGCTGCACCCTCCGCCGCACCACGCCGCCTGGAACGTCCGCTGTCGCCTGCGCCTGAACGTCTGTGCGCCTCACCACACCTGCGCCTGGGCATCCACTGCGCCTGCACCACGCACCTGCTCCACACACCTTCACCTGAGCATCGCATGCACCTACACACACGCCTGCAAACATCCCTATGCACCTGCGCCTGTCTGTCACACCTCCACACACCCTGCGACGTAGCATCCGCTTGCACGCACACACCTGCACCACGCACCTGGACTCCACCTGCACCATCAGGCGTCACGCTGCGCACCTGCACACACACCTGCGCAGCCATCCACGCATGCACCTGCCTGAGCATCCACTGTGCACCTGCACCACCTGCACCTGGGGCATCCACTGTGTGCCGCACCCGCGCACCTGCACCCGCACGCACCTGCGCCTGGGCGTCACTTATGCGCCTGCGCCGCAGGCATCGCGACCGCATAACGCCTGGGCGTCCGCTGTGCGCATCACCGCAGACGTCCGCCTGTGCGCCTGCACCCACGCACCCTGCCGACCTGAGCATCCACTATGCGCCTGCTGCACACCTGCCACCTGCCCGTCCGCCTGTGCACGCATGCACCAGCACCCTGAGCATCCACTCTTGCCCTGCTGGCGACATCCCTGCACCTGCACCTGCCTGGGCGTCCACTGTGCGCCTGCGCAGGCATCCTATGCGCCTGCACGCACGCCTGCGACCACAGGCATCCACTCTGCCCCTGCGCCACGCACCTGCACCCGCACCTTGCAGGCCTGAGCGTCACTATGCACCTGCACCTGAGCGTCACTTCCGTGCACCCTGCACGCACCTGCACCTGAGCGTCGCCTTCGCGCTGCACTGCGTCCGCTGTGCACCTGCACCCGCACCTGCCTGAGCATCCGCTGCTCATCTCACGCACGCCTTTCGCCACCGGCATCCGCTGCCTGCGCAGGCGCACTGTGCCTGGGGATCACGCTTGGCCTGCTTGCGCGACGTCACGTGTGCGCTGCTGCGCCACGCGCCTGCGACCCTGGGCGTCACTTTATGGCGTAACCGCACCTGCCACGCACCTTGCCTGGAGCATCAGCTGTCGCACCTGCACACACACTTTGATGGTCACTGTGCACCTGCATGAACGTCCGCTGTACCCGCCTCACTGACCTGCACGCCTGAGCATACGCTTGCGCCCGCCGCACGACGCAGCTGAAACGTCGCTGTGCGCGCAGCCACACCTGTGGCATCCGCTGTGCTCCTGCACCATGCTGCGCTTCGCCTGCTGGGCGTCCGCCTGTCGCCTTCGCACCGCACTGCGCAATCAGTGCTGTCGCCCACCCACACTGCAACCTGGGTTTGCGTCACTGTCGACCTGACCCGCCTGCACCGCTGACCGCAGGCATGCACTGTGCACCCACACCGCACCTCACGCCCGCACACTGCCTGGCTTCATGTGCACTGCCACGCACGACTTGCCTGAGGCATCCGCTGTGCGCATGCCTGGCGTCACGTGTGCGCTTGCCGCACATGCGCCTGAGCGTCCGCTGTCTCCTGCCACCTGCGCCTGGGCATCACCTACACGCCTGCCTGAGCATCCGCTGTCGCCTGCCGCACCTGCTGAGCATCACTGTACCTGCCACGCACCTGCCTGAGCGTCACTGTGCGCCTGCACCCTGGGCTTGCATCTCACACCTGCGCCTGAGCATCCTCTGTTGCACCTGCGCACACTGCTGCAAACGTCCTGCTGTGCCTCACCCACGCATGCGCCTGGAGCGTCCGCTGTGCACACACCTGCCCTGACGTCACTGTCACCTGCTGCACGCACCTGCCCTGGGCATCAACTGTGCGCCTGTGACGCACACCTGCGCCTGAGCATCCACTGTCACGCCTCACCGCACCTGCGCTCTGGGCGTCCAGTGTCGCCTGCGCCACGCACGCCTGCCACGCACCTGAGCATCCACTATGCGCCTACGCCTGCGCCTGCGCGGCGTGCGCTCTGCGCACCTGAGCATCCGCTATGTGCACGCTGCCACGCACCGGCATCAGACGTCCACTGTCGCCTGCACCACTGCGCCGCCTGCGTCCGCACCAGTCGTCTGCACCACGCACCTGCCTGAAGCATCCACTGTCACCGACCTGCGCCACAACGTCACTATGCCGCGCCCACCAGCATCAATATGCCTGCCGCTCCACACACCGCACCACAAACATCCGCTGTGCGCCTGCACCGCACACCTGCCACAAGCATCCACCCCTGCACCTGCACCACGGCATCCACTATGCACCTGCAGCACACCTGCCGCCAGACATCCACTGTCACCACCACACACACCTGCAAACATCCACTATGCACCTGCTACACCTGCCTGAAACATCCCACTATGCACCTAAACACACACCTGCACCACAAACGTCCGCTGTGCCTGCACCACCACCTGCCACACACCTGCGACAGGCATCCGCTGCCTGCACACGCACCTGCGGCACCGCACGCCTGCGCCTGAGCATCCACTGCGCCTGAACCACGCACCTGCGCCTGGGCGTCCGCTATGCGCCTGCTGCACCCTAACATCCATATCGCCTGCCACGTCGCACGCCTCCCTGGAATCGGACGTCCGCCTGCACCGCCGCACCTGAACGTCCACTATGCACCTGCTGCCACACACCTGCGCAGAAACGTCCGCTATACGCCAGCGCCTCAAACGTCCACTGTCACCTGCACCGCACCTGCGCCTGAGCATCCGTATGCACCTGCCACGCCTGCACCACAAATATCGCTTTCTGCCTGCACACTGCGCCAGTTATCCGCTGTGCACGTGCATCACACACGCCTGCAACCTGGCATCCACTGTACCTGCACCTGAGCATCACTATGCACCTGCCACACACCTGCCACCAGGCATCCACTATGCACCAGCGCCTGGCATCCACTGCACCCTGCACACACTGCACACACCACTACACCACACCTGCACCACAGGCGCGTCGCACTCTCTGCACCACACCTGCACCTGAATATCCACGCTGTGCACCTGCCGCCGCACATGCGCTGAGCGTCACGTGTGCGCCACCATCACGCACCTGCTGCCCTGAGCGTCACTGTGCGCCTGCCTGAGCAGTCCACTTTGTGCGCCTGCCCACACACCTGGGACGTCACTGTGACCAGCACCTGAGCATCCACTGCACGCCTGCACCACACGCGCCGCACCACAAACGTCCACTATACGCAGCGCCTGAGCGTCACACTGCACACCTACACCACACCTGCACCTATACCACCTGCCCACCACACCTGCACATCACCTTGCATTCTGCACCTACACCACACCTGCCACCATCACCTCAAACATCCGCATGCACCTACACCACACACCTGCCGAAATCCCACTGTGCTTCCGCAAACGTCACTATGCACCCTGCACCACCACGCCTGCCGACCACACTGCGCACGCCTGCACCACGCCCCTGCACCCACGCACCTGCACCACGCACCTGCGCCTGAACGTCACTGTGCACCTGCACCGCACGCATTCGCCTGGGCGTCACTGTGCCCACCTGCACCGCGCAGCCTGCCTGGGCGTCCGCCATGCTGCGCCTGGGCGTCCACTGTGCGCCTGCGCCACGCCTGCTGCGCCTGCGCACCGCACGCCTGCCGCACGCCTGCACCACCAGACGTCATCTGCGCCTGCGTCACCTGCGCCTGGCGTCACTATGCACTGCATCTGAACGTCCACTGTCACCACCTACACCGCACCTGCGCACACCTGCACCGCACCTACACCACTGAGCATCCGCTGCACTCACACCTGCGCCTGCTCACACTGTCACACCTGCCTGGCATCCTGTGCCTGCACCGCACGCCACCACTGAGCATCCACCTATGCACCTGCACCACACACCTGCACCCACACCTGCACCACAGACATCCACTGCACCTACACTGCGCACCTGCGCCTGAACGTCACTATGCACCTGCGCCTGAGCATCACTGTGCCTGCACCACGCGACTCAGCCTGAGCGTCACTATGCGCCGCCGCACCTGCACGCCACCTGCCTGAGCGTCCGCTGTGCACTGCTGCACGCACCTGCGCCACTGGCATCCGCTATGCGCACGCGCCAGCACCGAGGCGTCACGCTGTGCGCCTGCACCCGCACCGCCTGCGACCCTGGGCGTCCGCTGTTCGCGCCGCGCACGCCTGCCCTGGGCGTCCGCTGTGCCCGCACGCATATCCTGGAACGTCCACTATGCACCTGCGCCTGGAGCGTGCTCGCACCTGCCACACCTGCCTGAGCATCCACTATCGCCTGCACCACACACCTGCACCACACACCTACCACAAACATCCACTTGCACCACCACACCACGCACCTGCCACAAACATCCACCTGCACCTGCGCCTGAAACATCCACTGTCACCTGCCACCACACCTGCAACCACGACATCACTGCACCTGCCACACACCTACCACACACCTGCGCAAACGTCCACTATGCACCTACACCACACATGCTACAGGCATCCACTATGCACCTGCACCGAACATCCACTGCACCTACACCACCCACCTGCACCCTGAGCATCCACTATGCACCTGCACCACACCACCACACACCTGCCCACAAACATCCACTATGCCTGCACCCACACTGCACCTGAGCATCCTGCACCGCCACCTGCACCTGCTGCACCTGCCGCCCAGTCGGCAAGCGGGCAGTGCTGCTCAAGTGCGTCTGCGTAAACAGGTTATGGTAAAGCAATGCCTGCGTGTTTTGTGCAGCATTTATTTTATATTGTATAAAATAAAATAGATAAATCGTGTAAATCATTTCAAATAAATGGTGGCTTTTACTAAACAGCGACATTGAAGTAATAACCGAGCTCGTGCCTTGACCTTATACCGCCAGTAAATGTGTATTTTTAAATAAAAATGTGTTGTTAAGCCTTGTTGTTTAACAGTAGAAACTACTGGGCAGTAAGCCTAGTGTGTATACAGCCATTATAAGCTTTACCCATGTGTATTTGTGAAGTTAAAATACCAGCTTTATTATGAGTGTTACAACATATAAATAGTGTTATATATTAATAAAAATGTGTTGTGTGTGTTTAACAGTGAACTACTGGGCAATGGCTCCCTAGTGTCTTTACATCATTATATGCCTTTGATATTATGAAGTTAAAATACCCACTTTTTATGTGTTACAACCTTATAAATAGTGTATATATTGTCAAAGGAAATTTAACCAGCAGTGTGTTTAAGAAACTACTGGGCATAAGCTCTAGTCAATGTATACAGCCATTATAAGCTTACCATGTATTATTATGGTTAAAATACCCACTTTATTATGTGTTTCAACCTTATAAATAGTGTTATATATTAATAAAAATGTGTTGTGTGTGTGTTGTGAGACTACTGAAACGTGTCCCAGTGTGTATAATGTATACCCATATGTCATGTGTAGTAAATACCCTTTTTGTGTGTGTTTATTGTGTATATTTGTAAAATGTGTGTGTGTGTTTAACAATGTTCTGTAAGCTTGCATTATGTATACATGTTAGTGCTTAATATGTGTATACCCCTTTATTATGGTATTACAACCTTATATAGTGTGTTATATTGATAAAAGGAATGTGTTGCTTGTGATGTGTTTAACAGTGGTAAGAACTACTGAAACGTCATTTGTCTCTTGTATACAACCATGTCTTTCTTACCCATATGTATTGCCCATTCATCCTTTATTATATGTTACAACCTTATAAATAGTGTTATATATTAATAAGAAT